CACTAAGACACAAGGGGTTACTTGGTGTGGGTAGGAACAGAAACATTAATAATGAGCATGAAGAGAAAAGAATAATCGGGAGGACAACAGATATCACATGGCATTTAAATTATCACAGATTAGATGGAGTCTGACTGGAGTTCCATAGGCGATAGGTGTGAGAAAAAATTAGCATTGAATTTACGGCTACATCTAGCCATCTCAATGAGTTGATGAGATCTCGACACCAGTCTAATACTTCCCTTAAATGAAAAAAAGTCTAGGTACCAGAGTGAAGCGCGATATTTATTTGTAATTGTTTACCAAGTGTGGCACAAGGTCAAATGTGGAATGGGAAAAAAGGACGGTCTTCAGCTGTCTTAACTTTAAACTTAACTAGCCACAAACACTGGCCCAAACACACTACAATATTCCTACCACCAAAACTACGCATTCTTACTTACCTTTCTTACTACATCCACCATAATATCTTAATGTCCCCAAGAAAGTTAACTAGTCCCCATATATACAATTCATTGTATGTGGGAAGAGGGGAATAAAAAAACAATTTAAAACTAGCCTCAATGAGTATTTAAAATATGAAAACAAAACTATTTACACGAAACTAAGCAAAATAATATTAATAATAAGCTCCGCCCATCTCTAAATGTGGCAGAAACATCAGTTAACTGGACGAAATTAATGCGTGACTTTAATAACATAAAAAGATATCATTCATCCCAAACACTCACTCAAAACAAACACTCATTCAGACACAACGACAAATACGAAAATCACACTCGAAACGAAAGGCGCCCCGCATCCACCAGAGAACTGTCATCACTGACCACCTAATGAAGATCTCATCCGAAGAATTATCATGAAAGTGTTTATAGAAAAGTTACAAAGAAGCAGCCTTACAGTGGTGAGAATGTGACTGAAACTGAGCGGCCAGATCAAGACCAATAATATTGCTGATTTTCCTTTGAAATTTATCAAGGACCTCCAGGTAAATAGCAGGGGTGCCAGACCATATATGACAGCAATATTCTAAACATTCTTTCAGCCTTGTGCCACATATAAGCTACACTTAGGAAATCGGCATACGTAGCATGAATTGGCGCAAGTAGTTTAGGAATTTCAACAAATATAACAAGTATAATGGAGAGTAAAACCATTTTGAAAAGACAGTTTTTCGATTTCACATCAGGGGAAACAATGTGTTGCACATTAAAAGAAACACAAATTATGAAACTAAATATTGTAAGGAAAGAAATCCCCGTATTGTGTTTAATCAGCAGCTGTAATTGTATGATTAAGTTACTTCAGAAGTTAAAGGAGATTCATCAAACTATGCATGGGGTATATGTCTTTTTATTTTTTTTCCCTAAATATTTAGACAAATCAAATCTCAAGAGCTAGAGCCATCCAAGATAAAAGGTAGCACTCTCAGGCTCTTGTATGTAGATAAGAGGAGGAAGCAAATACAGATTAAGTGGGTATGAAGGATATATAACTTTTAATCTAGAAATGTAAACTGACCCTTCCTGATTCTAAGTATTGGAGTCGTTCTGGTCTCCATTTTCCTCAAATTTTCCCTCGTTATTTACACGTTCCGGCCTTGGTTTCTGTTGCCACACTTATCTTCTTCGTATGCGAGGACATTGTTCAATGTTTACTGTGTTGTAGCATACCTACGGACGATAATGGATATGCCCCCATTCACTTAAATACAGTAGTAAATACCTAATGCTGATCTGTAGTTGGAGATTCTTCTCCAGTTATGTTGGTCAAACTCTCTGCATCTTGGCAGACAGTAACCTCAGACGAGGCTATGTCGAACGGCAGAATCTCGTCTTGGGAAACAGCTACCCGACCCTTTTTTATGCGGAATTTTTTTACTTACGGGCTCCAATACTCCATATTAAATTCAGTCTTGTGTCACATCTGACCGCGTGGGGTGGTTGCTAGATATCCCGCTGTTGGAGATTCATTGTGGAATTCACTTGAGTCACTTTTAGCTGTTGACTACTTCTACTCGCCGGTGGTGAATTTTATATGTGTTGTTCGTGTCCTGAATAGTATCGTTAATTACCAAACTTCGTTTGATTATTCTATTCTGTAACCATCCCTAGGTTACAACACACTGCAATATAGTCAGACAAATATTACATAAGTAAGTGTAAAATTCCCTTGCCCATTTTCTTTATTATGTCTCTCAGAGAAAACACACCCCTCTCTCTCCCTCTCTCTCTATTTCTCTCTGTTTCTATCGATATGTGAGGACATTGTCCAATATTCCCTGCCACATAGGGGCACCAATATTGCATGACATAAGTAAGTGTAAAATTAGCCATGCCCTTTTACTTTTATTTTTTAAATTGCCTTATAAAATACATCTTTCTCTCTCTCCCTCTATCTCTCTCTCTCTCTATATATATATATATATATATATATCTTCCTTTTGCAGTTTCTATCGATAGCTGAAGACATTGTCCAAGATCCACTGCCATATAGGCTGATCGATATTTCATATGAATTCAGTACATTTTTATTTATTTCTAACGAAATCTTGTTTGTTAATACATTGCTCAGATTTTGGGAGGCAATGTGTCAATATTGCTATGATCGTCTATTTGAAATTGATGAGTTATTACTGGAATATATGATATTCGATTAAGAACTTACTTTGGATTTAATCAACGGTGTGGGTGAGTTTTTTTAGAATAAGTCGAAATTTGCAGGCGATATGCAGTAATGTATTATCACTTATTCTATCTTTTGTGTTATTTTGTTTATTTGTTTTTCTTCTACATTCCTACTAATGTATCTGTGTGCCGATTAAAAGATAACGCTGGATGGAAACGTCATTACTTAATAATATATTCATTCTTATATTTCATCAGTTATTCTAGGAAAATTCCTGATTTGAGCCCCGTCATCCCGGGTTCGAAACGCGAGGCTTACATTCCGTCTGCTACGTTTGAGAACCCGTATAAAAATCTCTCTGGCGGTTGATTACATATCCATCCCGGGTCCGATACGTGAGCCGATATCCCGTCTACTACGTGTGAGAAAATGTCAAATCATCTCTGGGGAGGTTAGTTATATATTCACCACGGTTGTAATGACGTATGCAAGTTTGTTTTGATTTACTTCAGCATGCAGTGACTGTGAAAATCCAGAGTTCAGTGCTGCATATGGCTTTTTTGAACGACTGATTTGAATGTAGTCCGGTAATATATTCTATGGTGCATATTATTTGTTCACGGCTCGCACATTTCAGCGACGTAAAAATTCATCTGGCTTAAATTACATTCGCATTTTGTGAGAAAATACTAGAGGTAGGTTACGCTAGACGTATATTAAATCACTGTATAGCGTCGGCGAATTAACCAATAATTGATTGTAACTGGTTGATGAAATTATCTACGGAATGAAAGCGGATTTAACAAACAAGTCAAGGTATACATTCAGGCTATCTGACACGAAATAATATAATTCCCGTATAATTGTCATATAGCACAATGAACAAATAATAGACAATTTTAATAGACAAAACAGATGAATGAAAGATATTTAGAAATACGTACAAAGAAAGTTACAAACGTCATATACTTCGAGAAGTAATTCTAATATTTTTGTCAAGATGAAGAACGTAAATCTGTATACTCTTCGGACCTATAGACATATCATCTGTCTGAAGTCTAAGTTCATGTGAACAGGATGAGCTAGATGATTAAATATTTAAGGAATCCTTGAAGTGGTTGTAAAATAAAAGCAAATACTTCCTTTTTATTCTCAAAAAAAAAAGAAAAAAGTAAAGCAAATTCGTTCTTCGGAATTCGTGTTTGGCAATTCGCACTTCGACGTCTACAGAAGTGTAAACAAAGATGTCCCTGACAATGCCACAAACGGGCAGGCGGTAAAAAGAGAATGTATCAAGAAGCGAAGATAGAAAAGCCTGATTACTGTCGATTTTGTCCCCGCAAAATAAACTAAGGAAAGTTAAAATCGGAAACAAAATTAATGGAACGAACGGAAATTCTCATTTAATGTTAGAAAGGAATAAAGAACATAACAAAGACAAAGCAAGAACAAAAAGAACCCGCGAAAAAGACAAAAAAAATAACTAAACCCTAAACGTGTTCACTCAAGTCAAAATGCTCTTAAAAACCATAAGTGTTTAAATATCAAGCCAAATAATAATGTGTCTGAATCCACAGTTTATATTTCAACCTATCAATGAGGAAGGTCAGTTTACTTCTTTTTGGATCGTGCCTCTTAAGGACTTTCGATATCAGGGATCTGCACAACATTGTATTCTTTGTTGTTCTTATGTATCTTTGTCTTTTACCATCTTTCCGATGGAGCATTCGATCATGCATTCATATATGCTCATCAGGAAAGTAGCTCGCTGCATCATCCTGTCCTATGTGGCTTTCATATGTTCTGAGAGTGTCAATCTATCTGTCTATTAATATCTATCTATCTATCTATCTATCTATCTATCTATCTATCTATCTATCTTTTCAGCTCTATCTATCTTTTCAGATCTATGTATAAATGTATGTACGTATATATGTATGTATGTATGTATGTATGTATCTATCTATCTATCTATCTATATATTTCGATCTATCTCAGTCTATTCAGAACTATCTAGCTGTCTAGTCAAATCCATCTCAGTCCATTCAAATCTATCTATCTATCTATCTATCTCGGCCTCTTCAGATTCTATCTACCAATCTACCTATCTATTAGTTTATTCAGATCTATCTCACTCTATTTAGATATATCTCAGTGGATTTAGATCTATCTATCTATCTATCTATCTATATCTATCTATCTATCTATCTATCTATCTATCTATCTATCTATCATCTCAGTCTATTCCGATCTATCTCAGTATATTCAAATATATCTCAGTCTTCAGATTCTATCTATCTATCTATCTATCTATCTATCTTTTCAGATCTATGTATCAATGTATGTATGTACGTATCTTTCTATCTATTTCGATCTATCTCAGTCTATTCAGATCTATCTATCTATCTATCTATCTATCTATCTATCTATGTGTTGTAGAGTAATAACAGTGTATATAAATGTAATCTTTCTTCTGAATATGTCATTTCATTTTTGACATCAAGCGTATATCAACGATTGGGAATCACTGAACGATGGCAGGAGTAAGAAAGACATGTTACCATCGGAGAGCATTAATTTTCTCGATGAGAAGCGACAAGTGGTAGATACAAACATGGCAAAATCCCTCTCACTCTAGAAGTTGGCGACACTGAGTTTCTTCTCTAGGCCATCACCAAAGACATGAAGATAAATGACAGCAAGCCCCGCCCCACATTATAACTTATAATCACCAAACAGCAAAGTAAACAGCGTATATATATATATATATATATATATATATATATATGACGAACTATCCCATCGATTTCGATGTATGAGGTTCTGACGGTCACGAAATAATTATCTGTATGGCTATGACGGGCATGGCTTTTGATTTTAGACCGGCTCGAGAATTGCACAAAAGACCACAAACAGTACAGGAGAATGTATTGTATCCAAGTGCAGCAGGAACACTGTTAGATGTCTTATTTTGCTTTCTCGTTTTATGTATTCGACTGATGCTTAATTCCCAGTGCAGCTATATCAATGTTGTACTTCTTTAGCTCCAATGCGACCAGAGCTGTTTTTCTTTCAGGTGCTGAGTTGTTGTGCTGGAGAGTTCTTACATTCCAAGTACCAAGATGTAGTTGTTGTTGTTTCGTAGAGTGTTTCGCAGTAGCGGGATATGTGTGGAACTAATTAGATGTAGTTGTAAGAAAACCAACAAAATGATTTATTACACGTGGTGATGGCTTGTGTTGGACCATCAACACATTATGGATCTGTCGATAATTAAGTAACAGTGCAAATGACTTTGGATATATACATACATACATACATACATACATATATATATATATATATATATATATATATATATATATATATATATATATATATATATATGCTATATATATATATATATATATATATATATATATATTATATATATATATATATTTACTATATATATATATATATATATATATATATATATATATATATATATATATATATATATATATTTGGTTGGATAGATGTGAGTTTGTGACCCTGGGTTTCACGCTTTAGCGATCGTCAGACAAACTGATTAATCAGTTTATCTGACGATCGCTAAAGCGATCTCTGATATTGAGCGCTTTCTAATAAGTACCGCGCATATAATATATAAATAATTATACATATATATATTTATTTATATTTATATACACTTTTCACACACACATATATATATATATATATATATATATATATATATATATATATATATATTGCTATATGTATCCTGATCGATTTAACACGAAATGTTGGTATAAAAATGATGTTACGAAAATATTTGTGAAATCTTTACAATTATATTATGAAAAAAGCAGAAACGGATTTTAATGTTACATCAAGTATTTTTGAACGCCACTACAACTGGTAAGAAGACACCACTCATTGAAACGGAAACCTTAAACAACAAGGATGCCCTCTAGTTAAAATTTTGTTACTCAAAGAGAAATTGCCTCTTTAAGACATCGTGCGACAATGACATGAAACATCTCATCTCAGTCCACATAACATAACAAACAGGGTTTTTGACTTCAGAATATTAGACAGTTTGTGACAGATGATAGAACCTAAAACAATTAGCATGAATATGATAAAAAAAAAGGACTAAAAGTAACCAAAATGGCAACACCAGCCAATAAAATAACCCTTATCTGCGAACATAAATGACGAAAAACCCCTTGGTATAATTTTGCAGCTCTTAAGAATGAAACAGTAAATTTAAAATTCTGCCAAGGACTCGAGTTCAAACTGATGTCAATAAATACTGAAAAAAAACATAGATAAATTTTACCATAAATTAGCTGAAGCGCGTGAGGTCATTCTAATAATAACTAAAAGGAAAAAGATAACCTCATGGGAAGACAATCCTGTATTTAGAAAATGGTTACAAGAAAGAAATAGAAGAGAAAAATAGAAGAGGAACTACTAACCAATTAGCAAAGAAAATAAAAGTATCTTCATAACTCTTTGAGAGACCACTATCTCTTTGAGTCACATTTCAATTCTAATTGCACAAAGCTAAATATGTCTGCAGAAATAAACCCAATAAACCAATATTCATCTAATCATTATAAGCAATAATGGACCTACTGATGAAGGAATTGAGAAAGCTGTTAAGAAAACTAAGAATGAATAAATCATCACATTGAAACAGAACTTTTGAAAATAACTTACTTTCTCTAAGAATTAAATAACAAGTTTCGTAATTTTATGTTAGAAGTATGGAATTAGAAACGCATACAAAATGTGCGTTTTTTTATCATGCGTCAATGCACTCTTGAAAAAGCCAGGTAGCCATCAGTAGCCAGACATAGACAGAGTTATCTCACTTGGATTCATTATTGTGAAAATATGAATGAACATTGTTTTAACTTGGCTCTCATTATTGTATGTCAACTTCTCACAACTCATTTTGGTTTTCATTATCTCAAAGGATATAATGATGTCATCAAACAACTCACAGAAATTGCTTAACTTTGTAACAGAAAATAGACTTGCTATGTCACCCTCACGGCAAAATATGACCATATTCTTTTCAAGATCATTCTGATGACCAGATCAAAAGAGTCTGCATCTTGTCCATGAGAAACCGCCTTCCAAGCTCCTAAGCCACTGAAGGCCTCAATCTCATTGAAGAATTTGTCTAAAAACGCTTACATGTCTGGCGTGGACCGACAAAAAACCCCCAAAAAAACCATCAGTACCAAAAGAAAGGAGGAAATGAGAGACGAGCCTATTTAATTTTTTTCCTAGACTATTCCTTGCGCATTTACCAACGTCGATGTTATTAGATGCGCATTGATCATTTAATCATTCCTTACCACGTCCCAAACGAATCAACTAATAAAAGATAGTAATCCAGCTGTCCCGACTGGGGCCAATGTATGTGGGTATATATGTCAATGTCATAGACATTCATAGTTGGGACAGGAATGATCTTGACAATATATATATATATATATATATATATATATATATATATATATATTGGAAATCCTCTTGCAACTAATCAAAGAAACAGGTTTAAAGATAAACGTGTCTAAAAGAGAAACCATGATCTGGAATTGGAATAAAAGCAATGATAAAACGTACACTGATTGAATCCATCATAATAATTTAGTATGTAGAATTAGTAAATACTAAACCCTTCAAGGTTTGCCCTCCACCATATAGTTAATATATATATATATATATATATATATATATATATATATATATATATAATTATTAAAAAAAATATGATTCATTCGCTACATAAGAGTTCTCATGTTTCAAAAACCAGAGCCGAAAACCTCAATATAATTATTAAAATTAAATTGAGTTAAAGTATCAAGCCCTGTTTCATCCTCAAGCGAAAATTTAGGAATAACCAATCTTGAAATTTACGTATCTTTATAAGCATGTTCATTCGCAAAATTAATTACTATGGAAACGGCTGGGTGACCATTTTGGTAAGGGGCCTAAGAGATAATTTTATCCACATATCAGTCACATTTGGAAAGAGGTCAAGCTGAGGTAAGGTGGGGGGCATCCATTTCAAAGCGAATGATGGCATTCATGTGCGTACATCGTCTTGTCAGTCAAAGCGAAATATTACTTTTGGCACCATAATATGTCGTTAAGAGAATTTTGTTTTATTTTATTTATTTATTTATCCTTTTTTTTCACTAAAAGTCTGTTTCCTACTTAAACGCGTCGCACTGAACTACAATTTTTTTTGACGACTTCATAAAGTTTTTTTTCTATCTTGTCATTGGGTTAAACTTTTAAACCTTTTATTAGACTATGAAATTTAATTTTTTTTTCATGCTCATTATGTAATGCGAAAATTTGAGGATGTCGGCAGAAAACCGTTAACTCATGTCCATGTTTTAATAACTTTTCATTATTTAGAAACTTAATAATATATATATATATATATATATATATATATATATATATATATATATATATATATATATATGTGTGTGTGTGTGTGTGTGTGTGTAGGTGCAGGTATGTATAAGAAAGATAAAACTACAAATAGTATGAATAGAAGAAACACAGAAAGCAAAAAGTGCACACTGTGTGTAAGTTAACAGATCATTCACCAGGAATCTGTCTAGAGAAACTAGGCTAGAACCGTTACACTGAGTTTCACGTCAACTGAGATCTTCTGACTATTTCGAGTTCAGTATAATATTGACTAACTACTGAATATTCGTTAGAATAATACAACAGGACATTCTACGCATAATGCACCATTGACCAGAATATATTTTGGCCAATAGTAGAGCCAAAATATAACAGTGATGTATGAGTTCACGTATGAAATGGAATTGTCACCAGTCGGTGTTGACCTCAGTGTCCACTTTTATATTTGTATAAGCTTTTCCCTTGGTAATGGGCACTATTGCGCATAAAAGTAGTCTACCTCAAAACTATATGCCCATCATATATATATATATATATATATATATATATATATATAAAAAGAAGAGAAGAGAGGTGCCGCAAACGTTTTTGGTTGTAATGTGGATTTATTTAGAAAAAATATTATGCTTTGTTTTACATAATTGTACTACACGTGTTTCTGGTCTCGTGACCGTCTTCAGGTAAAAGCGGAGATTTCTACATATTATTAAAAATAATTAATTTTTTCTTTTGTTTTTCAATCTTAAATATTCTCGATATGAGACATTCTCTGTTTGTGTGTTGGTAATCCGAATTTCTTTCTTGAATTGGCAATGAAGAGTTCTGCGCGAAGGGTCATAAAACAATTAAGGTTGGTCCAAGAGAAACAATGAATTACTTATCGGCATTTTATCTTTTAATGTTTTACTGACCCCTATGTGTTCTTGGATCTGTTTCCATTTTTGTGTGTTTCTGTCAGCATGCGTGTATATATGCGTGCGTATATTCCC